ATACACTGGTTGAAAATCGTGTTTTAGTTACGAATCTTCGCCATAATTATTCGGACCTAAAATTCGTTAAACCAGGAGGGCTATCAGATATATTAATTTTCGTGATAAGGTACTACATGCTACCGTTCAATCTTGGTGTTTGCTTGCTAGTATTGACTTTTATGTGCGCACTAGAGCTAGTCGTAACTTTTTTTTTTTTACATTTTACTTTTTTTTAATAAGTGCCAATCATAAGCACTACCTCGAGTGCAGTCTGATTCTGATAACATAGGCGATTGTGAAAGATATTTTTCTACAGTTTGTGAAGTTTAAGCGAGCCTTCCAGACGTGTATTTTATCTGACACAGAGTTTGAGTAGAAGTTGTACATGGTTCACAGACCTGTATGCCTCTCTTGTCCCATGTTTCCGTTCATTTTAAATTGTGTTTCTGTAAACAGGACCTGGCAGTGCGACACAAAAGGCTCGAAAGGTTTGTGTGGCACTAAGAAAACATAAATTATTAATATTATTAATAATTTATGTTTTAAATAATAAGACATTTACTGTGAACTTCTAGTGTCTTAACGTTTTTTTTTTTTTTGTTTTTTTTTGGCCGATTATGTTACCAATTCTACCCAAAAGGGTTCAGTCACACAAGCCCATGTCGGCTTTGACGAACCTGACAGCTTCATGAGTATAGTCCTCGAAAATAAATGTATTATTATTATTATTATTATTATTATTATTATTATTATTAATATTTAATACTTTATAATTAACTTACTAAGACAATTAAAATAAGTACAAATAAATTAGTTAAAAATAATTGACACTGCTTGAGTCGGGAACTACATATAAGGGGGAAATATTTTACTCATGAACTGTCCCAACATACATCCAACTGGTTTCGACAGACACTGATCTACCTAATAGTACACCTGCAGAAGCAAAAATTATGATTATTTATTTTTAATATTACTACCCTTGCACCTACCACCACACACTAAACACCTTGCGATCTTTAATATCTACCAATAATAGACGTAAATGGAAGATAAAAAAAACAAACAAAAAAAACTTGGTTTATCTACTAGGCAGCACTTTGACCACAGGGCGAAGACAGTTCCAAATAAAGTAAACAATTTCCTGAGAAAGATTACGAGTAATGTCAACCCTAAGCTCCGAAGTGTGTGGTCTTTCTTCTGCGTGACTAGAATCTTCTGTCTTCGCTCAGCAAACTCGAGCTACGCACTTGAAAGGAGTGGCTTTTACCCCCCCCCCCCCCCCCCCCCCCCCCCCAAACTTTCTGCCATTCCTTTTCTCACTAAAGTGCCGGCTCTCCATTTTACTTAGGGCAGAAAAGAAAACACACCGCTCGTTTCTCTGAGCGACAAAGTTCTCTGGCACACGGTGCTTGACTTCAGAATGGCAGTTCATTTGGTCGTGAAGCGTCAAGCAATGTTTTATTTGTTTTACTTTTCTATTTGATAGTTTTAGGGACCGCCAATATATTCCCTGAAATATGCCCGGTACCGTTCATATAATAATAGAGGAGCGAATCTTAAGGAATGTTACTCCGAGAATAGAAAGCATAAATATAAATAACGGGCGGTACAATGACAAAACAATGGTTATGATATCTCGCTCTTAAACCCCCTATAGTTACAGCTTAGATATAAATAAGTATGCGACCACTATAATTTACAATAAAAGATTCTGAACGTATTTTGCTAGAATATTTCTTGCTTCTAGGTTGCATATAAAACTAGTCTTTTAAATTTAAGAATCAGGATTTTTTATTGCTGACAGAGCAGAATATGAATGGACTATAAAAGCTGCGATAAGGTACTAATTGTCCCTGGAACACCACGGATAACGTAGACTGAAGAGCTAGACGAAAACAATTTACTGCATGCGTGCGAAAATATGACCAACATTAATTTCTAGCTAAGCAATTCGCTTACTGGTCTTTGTTACTAAGAATAAAAGCGCCATTCCTCAGAATGTTTGTGTGACTGAGTTTACAAATGCAACTGCATTAGATTTGAATTAAATAGATATATTGTATTTAATATAAATAAATTACCGGCCCATCCTTCGGACTTCGTAGATGTCCGTCGTATAGGTTGGGGGGTATAATATTAATAATTTGTTTATATAATGTCCTCAAAAACAACCACGCGGGTCTTCACATTGGCGCACACAAGACAAAAAGAAGAAACACAGCACACGCACAGCCTAAATTGTACAAATTAGTATGACTAAAAATAGATCGCACATTTCGCACAAAATGTAATAGAGTTTCAACTTTCAACTAGACTTGCCAAGTTCCGGCGAAAAACTGGGAGATCTGTGAAGATGTCCAAGCTAGATGACGCGATTGTATTAAACGAAATTGGCATACGAGACAGTGGTCAGAGTTTGAACATAAATGAAATATAAAATACAGTAAAATTTCTGGTAACGCGACAAGGAACTTGAAAATCGACAGTATAATATGTAGATTTCGAGCATTTTAGTAAATCTAATGTGATCTGGACCAGTCATCCATTGAAAATTCATATTCACTGCGCGACCAAAAAGATCATCTTCACAAACAAATATCACGTAGCATTTTATTTGCAAACCAAACTTCCTTTTAGCATTTTTCAAACATTATCTAGAGTTTCCAAAAAGGCTAAAATAATAAAAAGCAGAACATGATAGTCAATTAAGTAATATTTAGAAATGTATAAGTTACCTCTAATTTTCGAAGCCAAGTTTCCGCAAATCTTTTTTTGTGATGAACAAGCTTAAGAATTATTATTTCTTTACTGTAAAACAGTTAGCAGTTTCAATGAAGTTGAGTTATTGCTCACCTTACCCTCGTTTCTTGCAGTACGTAGTTTACGCGCTAAAAAAGTCATAATGGGCACCTTGGTCCGCGTTCGCGAAGGACACTGTGGTCGACCGGGTTTCGACAAGTGTACGTCATTGGAGACCTGTAAAATAATTTAGACTACAAAAATAATATCACTACTGCAATTCTGGTATGACTTCTCAGACGTTGGAGCCTTCGCTACGAAGACCCAGGTCAGCTAGCCATGGCCCAAACCGTACCTCTTTAAATCAAGAATGAATAATTTACATAGAATGACTGATGCGTTCAAGGAACTATAGCCTGGTTTACAACGTCTGTGATGTTCATTTCACTGCGGGTGTTCAGAACACATTTCGCCTGATAGCAATCGAAACGCTGTGGCACGTCGCAAGTCATCCAGCAGATCATTTCGACGAAAGTTTACATCTTTGATAATTAGCCTGCTAGCCTTGTTTCGTATTTGTCTTGTTTTGTCTCTCCAATCACACAGAAAACATAATTCAATAAACGTTGAAGCTAAAGAATCTGGCTGCTGTAGTGTTGTTTTAACTCCGTATTATGAGTACCAATCAGTACATAGTTAAAACTTAAGTAAATATGGCGCTCTAATTTTTCCCATTTCAGTGCCCATGATAAGCTTCGTTATTATTAAGGCAGATACAGAATATGATAGCTTGAATCCTGGGCCAGACAGTTTTGTGCCAGTGAAACCATGCCTCTTAATTTTCAATACGTAAATATTCTGATTTAACAGTTGAACGTTTATTATTATCTGCCTTTCATCTGTATTCTGAAAAAAATAAGTTGCAAAATGCAACCTCTTGATTAGGTATGGGCGAACATTTTTTAGATATTATTACCACAGAATCGGTTGCGGTTTCCTGCCTCAATATCCGTTCTTAGGACACACCATTAACATTTTAAGGTGCCATTCGTCGTCGCAAACCTTGAAGAGCACTCCTTGATCGAATATTTCTGATTAAGTGAATGAATGTCGCGGATATTATAGCTTTCGTTCTGCTTTTTTAAATGAGAAGTATGAAATGGTCCAGTTCACATTGTAAGTAAACGAAATGCCTTTGTAATAAGAAGTTTCTTCTCAAATTTCTGAGAAGTCTGAATTATAAGCAGCCTCTAGAAACCCAATCAATCACATATTAGTACTTATTCAGGTGAGATGGATGCCATCACCAAAACACTGCACGTTTAGGAAACATAAAAAAATAGAAACTGATCAATTAAGACAGAGACAGTAGCACTGTCGGTTAATGAAACAGTCTGTAGAGGTTACTTGCAGTGAAGATTGAGACGAATTAATAAATATGCGTTGAAATGAGTCGTGACGATTTCCGCAGGAATTTAATATGATCTCGAGATCAAGAAAATCAATATATATATAATAATGTGAACTACGTCGTCTGTAGCCAAACCGTCGCCAAGTCGCTAAAGCTTCGGGATATAAAGGTTTCACGCATATTGGAAAGAAATGATTTTGGGGGTGCCTATATTTTGTAAAAACTCGTTTCATTGAATGACGTTTCGTGGACAAATTATTTATGTACACACGTTGTATGGACAGACGTTTTGTCGACACGATCTTTCATCGACACTCGTTATGTGAATTTCAAGCTGTAGAGACATTTCGTTACGCGTGTATCATTGGGGTGTGCGTTAGTCCGCCCCTCGTCTGCGCTCACGCCGCTTCGCGGCGACTAATGACAAAACTTTTAACACAACTGACCGACCCGTACACGCCGCTTTGCGGCGACAGTCTCATGCAGCTTATTAGAAGAAAAACAAAGCTAATCTGAGCTCTCGATGAAAGATTGGTCGATGAAAACATCACGATGAAACATCGCGTAGTGATGGAACGATCTGTTGATGAAACGTTATTCGGGTGAACTGATTGACACCGGATTTTGAGAGGCATCTCACGTGCCGCACTGACACAGGAAGTAGCACATCACAGTGATCGAAGCTAATTGTGATACCGCAGGCATTTCTTTAGTTCGTTCAAATGCCGACATTTCATGACATTTTACAATATTTATCTAGATAGGAATATCAAATATTTTAAGAAAGTTTCTATTGTGCAACCAACACCCATAACTTCAAATTCGTTTGAACTGAATATCGTGTGCACTGTTTTTTCTTACGCAGGTGTCCTGTACGACGACATTCAGACATTCGACGATGAGCAGCTCCTCTTGCGTATATTGGATCGAGCCAACTGGAATGCAACTGAGGCTCGGGGAGCGCCGTCTGGAACGCAATTTCCCCGAGCAGCTAAGCTGGACCTCGCCTTTCGAAAGATTTCTCCCAAGGACGCATTTCATTCGGCAAAACAAGGTAAGACTGTTTTCGATTGAACCTAGATGCCTTTAGATAGTATGGTAAATAACACACTTAGAATTGGTCTAGTCAATTAAGACTGAAAGAAAAATGTGCAATTTTGTTTACCTTAGTTCGCGATTTGTTGCAAATTTAGCAATGCCGGAAGCAGTATTTCTGATTTCAGAAATAGCCGTATACCTTTACCTCTTTCGAAGTTACCCGCCTTCGGTTTTCTTCCGATGCAACACGGAATTGGTACTCAATTCAATTTAATACACTTTTTTTTTATTTTGCGATCACAAACAACCTAATGGCTCGATGATAAAGCGTAGAAAGTTTATTTTCTCAAGCAATAAACTCGCTGTAAGAGAGAAACAAACTTATCGCATTCAACTAGGTATAATTAAAATACCGGTAGTCTATCATCGTGTTAAGAAAATCAATACTAGTGACAAAGAAATGCGGGGTGATCGTATGAGATATTCTTGTTACCACAGAAATGCATAAAGTTGATTAAGACTTGTACATCAACCTAAGCTCTGTGTAAACATTTGCACATAAAACATTTCTTCAGTGTTGTGCTAATAACCTATGTACGACAACGCGCATTTTTTTCTTAAATACATAACAAAAACAAAATATACATAGTTAACGGCATGAACAATGTGGATGTCCTTTTATGGCTCGAGTATGGACGCCTGTTCACACAAAAACATTTCCTTGGTTAGTGCAATAATATCAGTCACCCCAACTCAACGCCGTATTAAACCATCCCAGATCCTATAGTATATTAGTATTCTAACAACAGCTATGGCTTCGATGAACGAAGCCCGTTGACACGTCTATTTAATATAATTGAACAAAGATGGCGACCAGGTGAACCAAAGAAAAATATTCTCGAAAAACATAGAACATTCAATGCGGTGGAAAGTTGGGGTAGTCGGTGGTACATGTTAACGGTGAAAATAAACAACGCAAAATAAACGCGAGAGACAAGACGAAGTACACAACGAAGAACTGAAATAAGACTAGAACGAAGTGCACAACGCTTCCTGCGCGTACTTCGTATTTTTACCCCACGAGTTTTTGTTTTTGTTGTTTATTTTTATTCCAATCAAAAATGATTCCCACGGGTGTTCATTGATGGTAAAAGAAGAATACAGGCTTAAATTTTCTGGTAACAAAAAAAAACGACGAATATATCTGTAGTTTAGTCATGTGCTTCAGGAGCCAATGGATAACGTAGTCCTTATTTCTATACGATAATGTAAACAGAGAACTTGGTTGATTTTCTTCATGTGATCAGATCTGATATGACACGCGGCGGCTGAATGCATAAAACAGTGCCTTCCTAATATTGAAGATGGCTTTCCGTAATATCAGGAATTATGTCACACTGAACACCGACACGTAAAGTCGAAAGTGCTCAACAGAGACGCGTACAAAATGTTAGCCATCAGGCAAGAAAACACGAAGAATCAAAAATAAATATATATGGTCATGGAAATAACCTTGGCAGGTCATTTTCCAATCGCAACTTCAGAATAAAACAAAGTTAAATTGTGTTACAACGGATTGCTAGTATTAAGTAAAAATATGTGCATCATATCTTATGGTTAAACTTGTAGATTATATCTTAGTCGCAGATTGTTAATGCTACTTAACGTAAGGCTCTGTATGAACATCCACGTCTGAGGATTACAAAAATTAGATTAACTATTTCTAGCCATTAAAGGTTGTTGCTTTAGTGTTCTCAGCCTCTTCTCATTAATAGACTAACGGCGCCATTTTTTCATTTGTAGCTCCATTTTAACAAAGATTTACAAATCACAAAGGGCTGTTAGGCCAGTGGGCAGGGTGCTGGATATTCGACGTGCATTTAAGTCAGAAATTCCCTCAGGAAAAGATATGTGTGTGGTGGCGGAATTTAATGGTACCGCAGCCAGTCTCGTTTCTTCCCTATCTAAGGCCGTTTGTGCCTTAAACTAAACATCAGACCTCTTAAAACATCCCAGTAAAACTTTTCACTGATAGCCCAAACAGGGAGGGAGTAGAAACACTTTATGAACAATGTTTTCAGAGTAAAGGAAGTTCTTAAATTACTTGTATGTTCTCGCTTGCCCTAAAGCTTGTATACCAAACGTCTCAGTTTCACCAAACTTGAAGCACATTTATTATGAAAGTTAGAAATTTTATTATCGGCTATTTTTATACTGACAGAAACAGAAGAGAACACTGCAAAAATAAAGCATCGAGAACGGGAAACATGCTCCCTTATAGGCAGAGCATTTGCAAAACTATGAACTCAAAGATAAGGCTTAACAAAATCTAGCTGCTCAAGTTTAAACGACTCCTCGTGCTCGCTGTTTATTCAAATTGTCGAACGTTTTGGGAAGCGAACATCTCGGAGGTTGTACCGAGCACGTAGCTCTACCTAGGCTGGAAAGAAATATTTTAATTGAAATAAAAGCTTTGTTTCTCATTTTTTTTCACTATTGACATAGAAAGCACAAGAGGAAGGAAAAAAAAACTCGGGGCTAACTGATTTTAAATATTAACGAGCCTCGTGATCATATTTCCTCTAGATATGGTAAAAAGAACATAAATCGTGATGTCAAAAAAGTAACCATACCATACTTCACTTCGTTCACAGTGTAGGTGGAGTATTAAAAAAACAATACCATATAATATTGTGTTAGTTCATAAAATAAAAAAAAGTGAAAAACGCTGCGATGACGGAGCAACAGAGAAATAAGGAGGGAAGACAACTGCTTGTGGTTGTCTGCTGCTTTAATATGTCGTTAAACCGCTTACGTTGTCCTAAAAACATCCACCAAGTGAGCACTGTTATGCTGTTTAGCTTGAATTGTGCAGCAGGGTGGTCAGAAGTTTTAACGATATATCAAAATAAAGATTTTAAAACTTTAAAACAAAAGGGAATAGTTAGTGCTGCTTGATATTTGTTCGTTACGGGTTCATGTACGTGAGGACAACATTATTTTATGTCGTCTATCGCATATTTCCCGGTTAATACATTATCACGCCCTTTGTGAGCGAAAACCACGGGTCCGGTATCACACGCAACCGAACCTTTGCTACAGCCCCACTATATGTACACACTTTTGTTGAATACAGCATCATGATTGACAGACGGCTGTTGCAAGTTCACCCTTGCAGTAAACCCAGTACAGCGTTTAGTATAATAGAAAATGTATTGCTATTGAAAGATGCGTAGTAAAAAATCTACACAATTGAGGAAGATATTTTATACATTTGAAAATAATGTAAGGTGATATTATCACTGCAAAAGCTAGCGAAAAACACCTGCCGCTATTGGTCTATATTCGTATATTTCAAATTATTGCTGGATTACTCTTCCTGACACAAAATTTAAAATGGTTCCATAATTCTTGGGGACAAAAAAAAAAACTTGTATCCTCTTTTTTCGTTCTTTTTTTTTAAATCCGGTAATTGTGCATTCCTAGTTGTATAGAAGATGTAGCAAAGCTCCTAGTTTTCGGTGCATGAAATTTCTGACTCATTGGCTCGACGTCTCCTGATATGACCTGCCAGTGACACGTCTCTTGTCTTCTGGACTGCGGCCTAGACATTTACGGCATCACGGAATCGGGCGCATGAGTTTAACTCAAAACAAAGTGTGCTATATATTTCGGAGACGCAGAAACTTCCTGCTCACATATCCATTAGCTTTTAATAAATTAAAAAATTATATTTACACACAAAAATATAGTACCTATTCCGCCCATTAAACCATAATATATTCTACTGTAACATTTCTGGGAGGGTAAAGTCGCGTTCAATCATATACACCAGCACCACCTCCCAGTTTGACTCTATGGACGGGTTTAACTGGAGGCGTGAAAAAATTCCTTCTCGATATTAAAATAAATCCAGAACTTTAAACGAAAAAAGATGCATTGCATTAAATAAAGGGTGGGTGAGACGGCACTATATTAAAAAAAATGAAACTGCAGTCTGTGTATTTCTTTAGAGTTCTTGCAAAGCCTTATGGATGAACCGTTATTGAAAAACAGTGAATATACGGAGTAAAATCTGCTCTCAAGGACCAAACCGCGTTTTGATATTGACAAGGTGTGTGGTGACGATGTGCAGCTCACGTAATGTAGCTATGGGAGCGCGAAATACAATATTCTGCTATAAAGTACTATGTTTATGCTTTGTGCGCTGAATACATAAGAGCACAAATAGTGTTTAATACAAGGATCTAGAGCACACGACTTGCTTACTATGCTGGACGAGGCGCGCTTTGCCGATTCAACACCCTGGTCTTGACTGAGCTATCGGAAGAGCGCAGTCTATCGTCCCAGTATCAGGTGCACCATTGAAGTATTCTTGGAAAGTTACAGATACGCTCGTAATATATATGTTAACTCTGATGTAAAAGCGTATTTAAAGACATTACAGAACCTATATATACGAAGGCCGGACTCCGGCCGAAACGTCGAAGATTAAATCGTCCGTTGTTGCTGTTTTCACTAAGGGTTTTTTCTTCTCAGTTATATATATATATGCATTACACAGTTTCTAAGATGAGATTCGTCAAAATGTTTGAATTGGCGAAATGGGGTTCCCGTCTGATCTACTACTATTTCAACCAAAAGCAAGCCGAACAAAAGATCTGATAACGTACATATTGATAGTTTCAAGAATAGAAAAACCAACAAGAAGAAATGTCGGGAAGAAAAAACGAAAGGTAACAACAGTATTATTTTTATGCAGCCTTTTGTGGTAATTACAAGATGTCTGAATTTCACAAGCTCAAGGCCGAGGTACATGAAATATTGGAAAAAATTAAGAAAGGGGTAAGCTCAATTTTTTTTGCTCCTCGATTACAGGTTTTCATAGGAATGCGAGTTTACCAGCTCGTCTCTCTGTACTAAGATATTAAGGTGGGCTAGCTATATATGCATTTATTTCTAATACGTCTTCGTTTACATCATTGTTTCTAGCCTCTAATATTTTGAAGCGTCAAT